AAAATGCCACTTGGCTGCACTGAAAAGTGACAGAAAAAGCCCTGCCCTATGTTTAAATCCACATGAAGTGGAGATTTTTCTCTCCTAAATAGCCACCAGGAGATCTGGAGCAAAACTCCTTCAGCCCTTCCCCAGGGTTCCTCAAACCAGACTGTAGGGTTGTTGAGCTGATGTTGGCTTTTCTCTGGGGCTCTGAGAGAAGGTGGCGTGTACAGAGCAGGGCAAGGAGAAATTGGGCTGGAAGCAAGTGAGGAATGCTGGTGAACTGCCTCAAATCAGACMGTAATTAGTGAAATGCTAAAACTGAACTAGAGTTGGAATGGTAAGGAAACAGGTGGAGCTTTTGAGAAGTTTTATCTGAAGCTGAGCAGAACTCCAGGGGATGCATTTTCAAGGTGTCCCCCTGATTTACCTCCAGAGTGTTCTTCACCACAATTTCAGTGTAATGAGAGCTTCAGAGCATAACCTCAGCCTGGTGCAGGATGTCAGATCTTAATCCAAATCAGATCTTCCTGAACAGTCATGGTGTACCAAGTCTTTATTGGGACAGTATGCTTCCAACAGGTACATTTTCCAGAAATAAACCCATAAAACACAGGGAAATCTTCCAGGTAGAGGCTTCTGTASGAAATTCATAAAAGTTTTTCCAAGTACTTACCACTTAGAGCAGCTTATCCTTGAAAAGGTGTGTTATTGTTCAAGAAAAGGAAAAAGCCTTGATGTACAACATGAATGGCATATGTTTATAGACTGAGAGATGTCTTTGGGGGCTCTTCAGTGTTTATTTCCTCTAGAGCCTTTTAAATATTCATTGTTTTGTGGTGAACTCCATTGTTGTGTGTGTTTATGGATTCACACATACCGGAGTGCTAATTGCCGTTCTTTCGAGAACTCTTGAAAATCTGTTCAGGTACAGCAAAATAAGAATAAAATGTTGTCTTTTTTTGTCCTACTTCCAATGTAATACAAGCTCAGTTTCCTGCTGTTTAAAGCATTGTTGTTACTCTTTGAAAAATGTTGTCCAGCAACAGAGGAAAGAGCACTCAGAAAAAAAAAAAAAACAGCAGCTTTACTGTACACCAAATGCTGTCACATTTTTTTTTTTTCCCAGTCTAATCTCTTACAGCTACTTCGTTGTTAGTCGTAACAATGGCAGGTAAGAGYATTTCCAGGCAAAAAGTGACCTTTCAGTTGACAGTGTGCTCTAATTGGTTTCAGTGATAGACCCCTGTGCAAGTGGGAACGGAGGATGCTCACAAATCTGTCAGAATGAGCGAGGAATTGCAAAATGCGAGTGTCATCCAGGGCATTCTCTTTCTGCAGACAAAAAGTCGTGTTTAGGTAAGAAACTCTGGGATCTTTCTTGTGAAGGAAATTATTAATCAGTGCTYTGGCTTTCTGAGCTGGGGGTGGAAAGGAATGTGTGACACAAATATTTGTGTGCATTTTGGAGCAGCATTTTTCCCTGTGATACTTACATCAGCCCGTGGTCTTGAAGGACATTTTTAGTGATGAAAATCCCTCTGTGATCTCCCAAGTTGTGCTTTCCAGGTTTGTGAATGCTCTGGTGTTATTCTTGTAGGGTCCCTTTAAAACAGTGTCCCAGATACAGCTCCTGGAAAATTGGTTCAAGTGAAACTCTGAACCAGGTCACTGAAAACCTATTTAGAATTCAAAGGGCTTTTTAGCTGGAGAACTGTTTCCATATTMATGGAGAAACTACTGTGAAGGAAGAAATCATGATGTGTAAGATTTCCAAAGAGGGGAGCTTAAAAAGTTGAAATCTAAAGTCCTCTATTTAGTCTGGGGTTGTCAAAAAGATCTGTAACGTTTCTGACCCAAAATGTGGGGGAATTAGAGATCAAAATGCCTGCTTTTCTCTTTCAGTGAAACTCTTGGAAGGTAGTTTAGCAGTTTTATGAAGTAAAAAGCACTTGTGGACTTTATGGTGCAAAGATTCTTAAAAGCCAAGTCAGGATCAGGGTGTGTATATGTATGTGTATATATATATATATATATATATTCAGATACAAATTTTAAACTCATCCTTTGAAAACTCAGCCAAAATTTTGCCAATATTTAAATTATTGTCTCATATAGAGGGTCCTGAGTGCCTTTCAAAATATTTACTTCCTACCCTATTCTGCTCAGTTGTCTGTAAGCCTTTCTTGAGCAGAATGGCACATCTTGGTGATCTTCTCTCACTGGAATTACTCATGAGTAATTATTGAAAATAAAAAATACTTTCAAATAGTGCAGACACTTCACTCATGATGAGTGGATGGGAACAACAGTGGGTTTTGCAGTAGGGTCAGACTGTTACTCTTTTATCCCAGATACACATTGGCATTTCTGTTGATTTATGGATAAACTGAATCACTGAGTTAACTTGCAGTGYTATATATTGGAACAAATTTTCTCCCCAGCCTCATGGCAGCAATCTTTTGAATCATTAAGCAGCGTGTCTTACCATGGATATACAATTATTGGGATTTTTTCTCCTAGGAGTTACTCAGTGTCTTTTGCAAAATTCAAGCTGTTGTTTGGCTCTCTGGAAACGGAGCTGCAAGGAGACAGAGGGCAGCTGAAGTGTCATCCTTCASCTATTAGCTGCAGGACAGGAGGAAATCTGTGCAGGATGGTGGCTGTGGTTCAACTTCTTATTTTTTTTGTTTAAAAAGAAGAAGAGAACAGAATATTCACCAGCACAGTCTGCTCACAAACTGACAATTACAGAAAAAAGGAGAAATAACCCTTTTTATTCTAAGCAGCTGCTGCTCACGTGGCTAATTCAGAGAAGCTGTCATTTGTCCTGAAATTTTCATGAGCAGTACGTGGTGTTTGCAGTGCCTGGGGCCCCTCTTTGCAAGGAGCCTGGTTGCATTTGTCAGGATCCTTGTGCTGGAGTGCAGTTCCACAGCTCATGTGCAGGGACACAACTGCTGGAACGTGGATTTTTGGGGATAAAAGGTGAGGAGCTGCACTTCAGGCTGCTCCCTCCCACGTGCAACACACTGACCCAGGGTCGGTGCAATGAATAATCTGTGTTTTGCCAGGAAAATGTCAGAACGTGAAGGAGCAGGAGATGGATCAGGGGTTTGCCACGTGTGAAACCARTCTTTGAGCAGAGGTCGGTGTTTTGTGCAGCTGTTCTCCACTGCAGCTGTATTTAGGGTAAATTTTTGTGGTTTGATTTTTTTTTTTTTTAACTAATTACTGAGATTTTGGGTAGATGGACATCTTTGGAGGCATTTAAGCTTAAAATACAGACTGAGCATGAAGCTGAGGAGAAGCCTGCTTGACAGGGGGAAGAGCAGCCCCCCACTTTGGGTTCTGCACCTTTTTATTTTTATCTCAGGCAGGGTGAGGCTGCTCTGGGTGCAGCAGGTGCTTCCCCACTGCTGCAGAAGCAGCTGTAGGATTCAGGGATGTGACAGAGATGATCTGTCTCCATTGTCCCTGCTGAAACCCAGCCACCACTTAATCCAGATCGTCTGACATTCAGAAAATAATCAGCCATTTCCTGCTTCATTAATTCAAATATTGTGGCCTTGAGGACATGGTGATAATTTCAGAGTTTGGGGAGTTAGGGCTTTCTTCTGAGTTCTTCACATGAGGTCTTCTTTTGCCATTCTTCATATTTTTACAGAATAATAAACAAGTTGCTTTGGCTCATACTGCARATACAATGTTTGATACTGTAAATGTTCACACTGAGAAGTTCAAGGTCAATGGTGCTTAGAAAATAAGATTGTTTTGGAGAATAATGTGAGCTCAGTGCTCCTGGGTTCATCAGGCACCGTCCTTTGTAGACKGACATCAGGATAATCCTCTCAGCAGATATTTTGGAAATTCAGCCATGTCCACGTAGAGCAGTGTTATTTTTTATTTCAGCATCCATCTGAGTGACTSTGCCTCTCTCTCTGTGCTTGCAGACATCGATGAGTGTGCAGAAGGCAGGGCAAGGTGTGCCCATCGCTGTGTGAACAGCCTGGGATCCTTCAGCTGTGCCTGCAACCCTGGATTCGAGCTGGGAGCGGACGGGAGGCAGTGCTACCGTAAGTGACACCTGCAATAGGTGACACTGCAATAGGTGACACTGCAATAGGTGACACTGCAATAGGTGACACTGCAATAGGTGACACTGCAATAAGTGACACTGCAATAAGTGACACTGCAATAAGTGACACTGCAATAAGTGACACCTGCAATAAGTGACACCTGCACAGCCCTGCAGCCTTGGGCTGCACCCTGCTCTGCTTCCTCCTAATGCACTGGGATGAGCGTTCCCAGCAAAATTAATGCATGCAAAAGCTCAGGATTAATATTGTTCCTTCCTCTGCTGGGCTTGCAGGGTGACACGCTCCTAAGCTGTGTTCACAGACCTTAATTACTGCCTTTCAAAGAGCAAATAGCCCTGTTGGTTTATCTTCAGAGCCTGGTGAATTCTGCTGCAGAGCCACCAGAATGCTGCTGTTCTGTGGAATGTATTCATCCCTGTCCTCCACCTCCTCCTCCTTCCAGCCTTCTTAGAGAGCTGGTGCAGGAGAAACCCACCGTGATGTTCAGCTCTTGCCTTTACCTGTCTGAATTTGCTTGTGTTTCTTCTGAGATTGCTGACACTCTTAAGAGGATGCTTTTTAAAAAAGGAAAAAAAAAAAAAAAAAAAAAGGAAAGATTGAGGATGAAAAAAGCAGTTGAACAACTAAAATTTCCCAGACTAAAACGAGCCCCTGTTGTCTTTCCTTGCATAGTTACCTCTTGCCAGCGGGGTTTCTTAATCAACACGGCTTTTCTGGGGAGTGGAATGGGCTCCCAGTGCTGTTAGCTGATAGGTGATCCCTGGCCTGCCCTTGAGGGCAAATTTAGATTAATAAAGGAGGTGATGTGGAAGAGTTGGGGTTATTATGGACCTAACATAAGCTCCCTGGAATGCAGACAAAAGCATGACCTGTTTCAGCAGAGAGGTGGGCAAAGATCATTCAATCTAATAATACTGTGCAAGAGCTTTCAGCAGAGCTTCCTTAGRAAAATACGCTGCCTGCCAGACAATGAGTGCTTTATTTAAGAATGTGTGTGTAAGAAACAGTTATTAAGAATGAAATCCAGTTTCAAAGCATTAACATACATTAAAAACAAAACCCAGTTATGYGAGAGACATCCTGGAGAGTTATTTCATAGGTGATGGGGAGCTGTGAGAGGTGCAAAGGCAGAGGAAGTGTGATTAATATACAGATATGAAATGTTCTGTCACAGGCATAGAAAAGAGGTTTAGACCACTTAGATTGCATCGTGCTTTTCTGATAATATTTTTTTCTGGATGCTCAGCAGATCTCAGGGGATGGTGATTCTCTGTGCCTCATGTACAATATTGCAGAGTAAACAATAAAAATAAAAACATTCTGCATATATTTATGATCAGGATTATCCCAGTGTTTGAGCAATTTACAATCTTTGTTTATTCTTTCATTTCCCCAGTGGCTGGGGAAGAGCTGTTATTTCASTTTTACTGATGAAGAACTGAGACAAAGTAAATGATGAAGATCGTGTATAAAGTCAGATTCTGCATTTAATCGCTGGGTTTGCTAAATCCCAGCTTAGCACACTGGACAGGAGACACGATTTCCCCTCCCTGGTGCAAATAATCATACTATGTATGAGRTGTAGCCCTCAATATTTATTCTCTTAATTTATACCCTCTTCCAGCTGGAATTACATTTCTTGTTGGCAAGCAGGTTGCTCCCTGGGAGCACAAAGAGGGGTGGGAMCAGAGCCACCAACAGATGTGTCTGGGGAAATTCTGTGCCAGATCTGATGGCCACCACTCCGAGCTGGGGTGTTTTTGGAAACACAGTGGCTCCTTTAGGAAGGRTGTTTCTCAGTTCCCCTATATAGCAGGAGAAATTATTTCCTCTAGAAATAGCTCTGTAACGAGACAAGCTGGCTAAATCCTTCGTGAAAAACTTTATAATTGGGTCTCTAGTTTCTTTTCATCTTGGAGAAATCATTTGATGGAGTAGGAAGGGAATGAGGTGGCCTGGTGTTCCCTTTTCTGTAGGAAGGTTCYCATTGGAATGGCCAGGATGTTGTGAGGAATGTCCAATACCTGAGCAGGAGATGGAAGTCTGTCAGGGGGAAGGTGGCTGGCAATGGCTCTGTGCGGGGACAAAGTCACAGCAGAGGAGCTGCTGTGTCCCCCTGGAAGGGACATCCAAGGTCCAGAATCTGGAGATTGTTTTGTGTTTGGCTGGGTGTCCATTCCACCAGCAGGACTCTGCTGAGGAGGTTCCAATGCCTTTGTGTTTGGTGGATGTCTCCAAATCCAGCTCTTTGCTATTTCATGCAAAACTCAAAGCTGTTCTTTAGGGAGCAGATCAGAGTGGGGGAGATGTGCAGCACCTGGGCTCTTCGGATGGCTCTTTTCCTTGTTTGGGGCGAGAACTGTGTCTGAACAGAGTGTAAATCTGAGGCAACTGGGAAGACTGCTTTAGCAGGAGGCTGCAGGAGCACTGAGCCAGCTTCACATGGCTGGATTCCAGAGCATCCYCTGTTGTGACACAGGAACAAATACCTGGAGCAGGGACTCCAAAGCCTGCTCCTATGGGGAGAGGCTGTGAGGTGCTAATATTCACTGCTACACCACTCAAGGCTGCTGTTCCACAGAACTGATGCTCCAGTGACTCCCCCCAGGCTTGTTTTTTAACATCCTTCTGGTTTGTTTCCCTGCAAGGCATTGAGATGGAGATTGTGGACAGCTGCCAGGAGGGGAACGGCGGCTGCTCCCAGCGCTGCGAGCACACGGCTGCCGGACCGCGCTGCTCCTGCGCCCGCGGCCACCGCCTCGGTGGGGACGGCAAAACCTGCACAGGTAACGTGTGCTGGGGGCAGAGACAGGCTGTGCCAGGGCCTGGGGATTGCAGGAGAGCTGGAAATGTTTCTCCACACCTCCCCTCTGTCTGCAGGTGTTGATTAACACTGCCCCTGGTGTGCTCCTCCTGTGCTGCTCCAACTCGCTGTGCTCTGGGCAATGCTGGGATGAGTCCCTAACAAGGGGAGGGATGGAAGATGGCCCTGGTGCATCACCKGTTACCATGGCCATGTCTCACTGGSGACAGCCCAGGCATCACAGGCCTGGCTTTGTTYCCCTTCCCTTCTCAGCCAGTGGCTGGGAGCAGCAGCACAACCACTCTGAAGTGCTTCAMGCACAAACTCCACTTTGTGTCACAGAGTCTGCTATGTTTCCATCAGATTTTCTTAGTGGTGAGGTTACACTTCTGCCTGTGAGAAGTCTCACTTGGGAGGTGAAAGTAACAAAGTTAGGTTTGGGCTTGTTTCGAGAGAAAAGCTTTCATTCATGTTTGAAGCAATTCTGCTGTGAGATTTTTTTTTTTTGTTGTTGTTTGGTGTTTGTTTTGTTTATGGCTTTTGCCTTGCAAACTGTATYTCATTCTGCTTTGGGCTTGCTGTCACCATGCCATTACAATTTTTAAGAATAGCCAGGAAGAGAAGGGGGCTGGAAAAAGGAGCAGGCATCACAAAGCAGAGTGGTGAGATATGAGATGATGAGAAGAGGTAGARGGTGGGAGCACTGACGAGTGTGAGAGGCATTACAGACAAAATGAGTCTTGCAAGAGAAAAAAGCCAAGTGCAGGAGAGAGGAGGAGCAGAGGAGGAGGAAAGCACTGAGGTCTGCAAGGAGGGTGAGGATGGAGCCTAAAAAGCAAAACAAAAAAYGTCTGGGAAGCAGATTAGGAGCCAGAGCCTCGCAGAGGTGGGTGGATGTCTGGGTTACACAGCCTGGTCTGTTCAGCTGCACAGCAGCCTCCTGCCCACACCCCAGCTCTGCTGGGGATTTCAGAGGGAAGTGGTTACTCCAGACACAGCACAGGAAGGGGGAGAGCAGAGGGAAAAGCTGAGGACATGAGAAGTTGCTCTTAACAGTAAAAATCTCCTTTCTGTTGGATGCACATTTTGCATTCCTGCACAAATAAGGGGCTGTTGCTGGAACCCAGAGCGAGGCATCACCTGATGTGCTGCAGAGGAGCTCAGCTTGTGACATTTCTGGAAAACACTGCCTTCAAATAACCTGCATTAATCATTTCCACACTGACCTCCTCACCTCGATTGATTAATTACATTTTCTTTCTCCTGCCCGTGTTTCCTCATGAAGTTGGTGCTCCTTCCAAGGTTAATTGAGACACTGACCTTCCCCATCTGCAGCTGCTCAGCTGGGCCACGTTCAGAAGGTTTTGCAGACTCAGCACTGACAAGGTGGCCCTTGGATGGCCACTGACCTGCTCAGCAGCCTGGCAGCAGCCAGGAGCCTGCAGTGCACTGATAACAGCTCAGCTCTTCTATCTGATCACCACAGCAGTGGTGTCAGTGATACCAATTTCTGAATGGACACAGAGCGGGAGGAGGCAGCAGGAAATCAGTTATCAAAAACTACAACTGAACCGACCAGGCTGCTGCAGTCCAGAATGCCTGGCTGRATCAGAGCATTGTTAGTTTGCATTGACTGAGGTGGAATGTGAAGAAGTGTAAATGGTCAAGTGTAGGTTACAGTTAAACAGAATGTTTTTAAGGGYTGGTGGGTCCTYGYTGTCTGTTTTYATAGAAYCRTGGAATATTCWGAGTTGGAAGGGACACACAGGGATCATCCAGTACAASTCCTGCACAGACACCCCAATAATCCCACCCTGTGCATCTCTGGGGAAAACCTTTCCCYRATCTCCARCCCAAACCTCCCTGGCCCAGCTCCAGCCGTYCCCTCAGGTTCTGTCCCTGCTCACRGMGAGCCCAGCTGGTGTTTGTAAATCCCCTCAGGCAGCTCAGGCTTGTGGAGGAGATGCCTCTCCCAGGACATGGAGGGCTCTGGCTGCTCTGGGAGAWGGTGGAAGGCAGATGCTGCTGTAATTCAGGATTCAGACAGTGTTTATAAGGTTGAAGGAAGGTGTAAAGCAGTGAGTGCTGCAGCCCAGTAGCTCTGGGCAGAGCTGTGGCAGCAGCTCAGGCTCTGTCAGGGCTGAATGYTCTGCCCTTGCCTTGCAGATGTGGATGAGTGTGAGACTGGGGAGTCCTGCTGCTCCCAGTTCTGCATCAACTACTCGGGGGGCTACGAGTGCGCCTGCAAGG